GCGGCGGCTGCTCAGTGAGGCCGTCTGAACTGACTGGCTGTCCTCCGCCCTCTGCAACACACACACACACACACACACACACACACACACACACACACACACACACACAAAGCAATTCTGCACGCGTAACCGCCCCCCGCTCGCTCGCAAGCAAACATGCGATCTCGCATCCTGCACCCACACACACCCTCCCCCGAAACCACCTCCAGACCCCCTCAAGGCGATCGGCTTTGCGCCCGTCGGCAAGAAGCACGGCGGCGGCGGCCGCACAGAGGAGCTCACCGACCTCGAAAAGCACGCACTGGCGCACCCAATAAAGCCGCCGAACGCGAAGCAGCTGAAGATCCGCGAGCGCGTCGCGGGGCCGCAGGGCAACGTGCGGAAGGGGGCCAAAGAGGCGAAGCAGGCGAAGCGGCGGCGGTAGCGGTGACGGGCGCTGCGCGGGGCCGGGGAGGGATGCCCTTCGCCGCGCGCTGCGCACAACCCTTCCGTCCTGCGCCGCAGTGGGGCTCGGGGTTGCATGTGCAAGCGTGTGCATGTTGCGCAAGCGTGCCGCTCGCCACGCGTCGTGCGAGGAGACAGCGTGCTGAGCGTGTAAACCGGAGGCCTGGGCGGGGAATCGAGGGTCTGTTGCTGCCAGGTGGTGGTGGGGACCCAAAATGCTACTGTAGTGCCGAAGCGCTGCGAAGTCGGGGGTGACGACAACATTGGGGCACTGAGCAGCTGAGCGTTCAAATCGCTGGGTGTCTGTCCGCGCGCTGTGAGATCAAACGGCCGCCTGTGTGCAGCTATGTACAGTACAGGCAACAACATGTGTTATTGCCACTGCATCTGCGAATAAATTTATGAAAGCATCGTGTAGACGATGAAGCCAGACAGATTCAAGGCTGATGAAACGCCGCCGGCTGTTTTGGCTCGCTGCTCAAACCATTTGTTACCGTACCGCGGACAGGTGCGCCTGTCACAATGTGCCCTTTCTAATCACCAGCCTTTACCTCCTGTGAGGAGACGCGCCGTGCGGTCAGCACCGTTGTCCACCCAAGATCTCGCTGGGCTCCAGTACGGCGCACACGGCGCTTTTTCCTGCACAATTACAGCCTATCACTTCATTCAAATTCATATACATTGTCAGCCGTGCGCCTTGGCTGACTCGGAGCCAATCGCCGAGTCAGCCTCACAGCGCGGGCTTCCGACGCGATGGGCAACGCCCTGTGCCTGTCCCAGCGGGAAAAGAAGTCGCCGGAGCAGTATGCCACAGCAGCGCGCGTCTCCCCCATCCCGACGTTCCGCAAGCGCCGGCGCCCCAGCGGCGCCAACGCGCCCGCTTCGCTGCAAGACCTTTGTGTTGCCGTCGTCGCGGCAAACGCCGCCAGCCTCGACATATCTGTGCTGCCCTCGGAGCTGATACAGCGCGTGGCGGACCATCTCGTCGACGAGGGTGAGGGCGCGGCCACGCGCGGTGGGGCAAAGCGCCCAGATCTGAAGCTGCCCGGGCACAGCTCAGAGCTGGGGGCGAACCATGAAGCCCGCGCCCGCCGCCCGCCTGCGCCGCGGACGCCGCGGGCCCGCCTGGCGGCCGGCGCGCTGCTTGCCAGCTCTACCACCCTGACAAGACCCTGAAGCCCTCAGAACAGGCCTACTTTCCCGGCACCCATCCCAAACGCGCCTTTCCGCGATGCCCCAAACACCAACTAAACCCGCCACCCCCTCCGGAACCCCGGCGCAACACAAACCCCCTCCAAAAGGCAAGCTCGACCTCCGGCTGCTGCCGCACGCGCTGACGCCCTGGACCGACACCCTCAACCTGTCTAAGCTTGAGGGGGTCGATGACGAGTGGCTCGCGCGCGTTGCCGTGTGCAACGGCCTGCGCGTGCTGGACATCACAAACTGCAACCTGGTGGGTGGCCCGGGGTGAAAGGTTTGGTGAAACCCAAACCCTGAACCTTTTCTTAGGACACCTTGCAGCAGCGGCATGGGAGCGAACACCCTGCCCTTTGGCTTGCCTGACGCTGCGCCGCCCCCGGCTGCGTGGGCTGCGTGGGCTGCGGGCGCCGCCCTCTACCTTTGTGAGGTGACCAGTCGCGGCGGCGCGGCAGCTGCCGCCGGGGTAGCTGCACAGGCGCAGCGCCCGCTGCACGCGCAGACCCCCCCTGCCCCTTCACAAAAGCTGCGGCGGGGGCGCGGCCACGCAACGCGCGCGCCGCACCCCCGTTGGCCGCTGCTCCTTGCAGGTGACGGGCGCCGGGCTGGGTGCCCTGAGTCACCTGAAGGGGGTGGCTGTGCTGAGGGCGGCCAACTGTCACCAAGTTGGTGACGAGGCCACAGAGGTCATCGGAGGTGAGTTAGTCATGGAGTTTGCAAGACATGTGTGTGTGTGCATGCATGCATGTGTGTGTGTGTGTGTGTGTGTGTGTGTGTGTGTGTGTGTGTGTGTGTGTGTGTGTGTGTGTGCGCGCATGAGCGCATGTGCGCGCATGAGCATGTATTGTGCATGTTTGTGCCTGCATGCATAGTTTTGTGTGCATGCGTCCATGCGCGTGTGCTGTCGCTGCGGTGTCAGCCAAACGCTCGACAAGCAGCACGCCACGATCAAGCATGCACCTCCCCTCCCGGGCACCAATTTGCGCACCCGTACCCCGCCCCAGGCTTAGCCCGCCTGCGGGAGCTGCGCCTCGATGGCTGTGAGCTGTCAGATGGGGGCGTGGCGCGCCTGGGGGGCCTCACAAACCTCGAGGCCCTCGGGCTGTCAAAGTGC